TAAGGGAATAGGCCTTATAAATCACAGATAAGATCAAAGGAAGATTACAAGTAAAGTACGTACCCAGACAACACACCAAATACCAGAGATATCCACAGAATATCTTTTGTGGATATCCAATATATCCACAGGATATCATAAATATCCCGTGGATCTAATATGGATATCCAAATGTCCGTCTATGTCCAGGATATAGAAGATATCCTATAGATATCCAGCAAAATATCTAATGGGTACCTCCCAGACAATACACGAAATCCCAGAGATATCCACAGAATATCTTTTGTTGATATCCAATATATCCACAGGATGTCATAGATATCCACTGGATCTAATATGGATATCCAAATGTCCGTTTATATCCTGGATTTAGAAGAAATTCTATGGATATCCAGCAAAATATATAATAGGTACCTTTAGTAGAGGTTCATAAGTAACCAATAGATATATCCTATAGATGTTTAACATATTCAGTGTACATCCATTGTTTGATATATTTAAGATATCGAAAATTATATGTCTATAGGGTGTCGTATTTAATGCTTCATAAATTTTTTTTTTTGAAAGATAAGTAATGTTCCACTTTCAAAAAAAATTAATGTAAATTACATATATATCATATATATAGGTTTCGAGTTTTAGGTTGAAAGTTACAGTTAAATACATGTAAATTGCAAATTAAATTACTTATGGACTACGAGTAGCTAAGTCTATTTATTAGTCTATGTATTAGGTTACAATTCTTTTAATATTTTTAGTTAGTTAACTGTGCCGTAGAGATGTTCGTCCTAAATAAAGTACACTTGTTGGGTTGTGACGTCATTAATTTAACTGTGCAGTAGAGATGTTCGTCCTTAAGTACACCTGTTGGGTTGCGACGTCATTAATTTTTATAACGTATATTTAACTATAGTTTTCATTTAATGCTAGTTACAGTTATTTACGCTATGTAGATTTCAGTTATTACCCAGTATTATTTTTTACACTTAGTTAACTGTAGATTTTTCTCCCAGAGTCATGTTGATACATTGTATTAAATACTCTTATATGGCACTTTTAAATAACCACGTTGGAGACGTCTCCTTACACAGTATTGTACGCGCTTATTAGATTTTACTTAGGTACGTACTAAGTTTTTTGTTTTTAATTCTAATTTGCAACAGCTACTTTCTTCCTTTTAGACCTGATGATGGCATAATGCCGGAGCCGGTTGTCTTTTAACAATAAAATTATATTTATGTGGGACTGATTTTAAGTAATTTCTTACCTTTAAGATGACCACATTTGAGCAGTTAGATACCCTTCTTTAGTTACTTCTAAATATGTTTAATGTCCTACAGACTCGTGATTTTATTAATCGGAAACTAAAAATTTACAACATGCATGTTGGGTCTGCTAGTGTCATTAAAATTACATATTTCCAAATGCAAATTTTAAATTTGCTTCATTAGGTTTTGACATAGTTTTGACTTAATTCAATTCAAAATTTAAATTAAACTAAGGGAACAAACTAAAAATAGACTTTTTCGGTCAAGATTACAATGGAGAATATTTTGAGTATTTGTTTCAGTATCCGTTTACAACTAATCTAGTTAATTAATCAGTCTGTTTAGTAAAATTTCACATTTTAAATTTAATTAATTAAGTCAAAAACTAATAGAGCAAATTTAAAATTATGTACACCGTTAAATAGGGAATTAAACACCCTTTCAAATGAGCTATTAGTCGATTTTTGTTGTCATTTACAATTTTCATTACAGAAATGTGCTTCATAAGAAATTTAAATCGACCTGTCCGATCATTTTCACTAAATAGTTTATCATTCTGAAATTAGTATGGGTTGGGGGTAACACTTTACTTTGGCACCGTATACCTAAAGGTTTTAAGTCCTGCTAATAAAGATTAGCTTATATTTGTTTTCTGATTTTTTTACCCTGGAATTAAAAATAATTAAATTACCTTAAATAACTTGATAACATGAAACAAATTAAAATAAATTGAAAAGAAATTGAAAATTACCTTTGATGCGTTTTATAATTTAGCAACTTTTTTCTTCAAGGTTCTAAGATTCACTTTGTTTGCACTGTATGGTAATGAACTACCAATAATAATTATGATAATAGGTAATATTCTTTATTAAAACGACCCAGCAAACACACATTAATGGCCCAACACTGACACAATACATGTGAACAGTACTTGAAGCAAGGGCGAATTTAGCTTTTTCTTATGGGAGGGGTAAAATTTACCAAGGTTACATGTATAAAATAAAATTTTATTAATATTAAGTTTTAATCACAAATATACTAGGACAGTACCCAGAACTAAAAATAGTTAAAACAAAAAACACTTTTAAACTGTTACTAGGTATTAAAAGTCTAGTCAAATAAAGAAGCTGTATACACTTGTCTTAAGGTGCTGCAAAATATTAAACGTGTATTTTTCATTTCTGTTACATGAAACCCTTTTAAACTTAATTTTTTACCCTGCAATAAATGTAATAAAAATTAAAATTTAAAATGCTCTACAACTTCCTTATTATCGATGTAAAAGAGGAACAAGAAACCAATAAAATTTTAAATGAAATTACCGTTAAAATTTATTTAACATAACCTACCTTACCGGTTACCCTCCTAAGTCAAAAAGGGTATTTCAGTTGAAGAGAGTTTCGAGAGAAAGCATATTTTCCAAGTTTTTTTTGCGTTCCCTAAAGTCGAAAAAGTAATTTAGACACTGCTGGTTTTTGTTCTTCAATTTCTTGTGTCTTACATGGATGTGCAGTCATTTGGCTTAGTATTAATGTCATATACCTAACCCTTTTAGTAAATACAAGTGAAGTTGAGATACGTGAATTTGTCTTTTTTTTAATGTTTTTCAATCTGATGAGTTAAAAATAAAAAAAATGTGTATTTTTGAGATACCGCTTTTTGGCTTAGAAGGGCAGACTACAAAATCGGCCTACCTTTTTATAAGTTTTTTTATAAATTATAATCATGGGGGGTAATTACCCCCAGTACATTACCCCCCCCCCCCCGTAAATCCGCCCTTGACTTGAAGTGTCGGCACAGCATTTGTGTCAGACCACATTGCCGGCATCCCCGCGTGCAGGCGGCTAACGATTTTCAGGCATACAATTCCCCGTCATGCTGGAAAAGTGCTTCAGAAGCACACAAGATTATTAACAATTTAGTACTGGAAAAGTACTCTTATGATATTTTGTTTTTCATTTACAGTAAACTAAGATTTGTTCATACAAGCTCTCGTTTTACGTTATTATATCGATATTCGCTATAATGAAGCAAACAATTATTTAAAACAATCTTAAATTTTTAGGTTAAATTAATATTTGAATAAGCATAATTAAAAAGAATACATTTATTAAAAAAAATATACAAATCCAATATTTAAAAAATATATGAAATATGACTATCGGGCTGCTACATAATCCAAGATAGCATTGCGGAATAAAGAATGTGATATCTAAAACAGGAAAAATCGAAAAATCGAAAAATCGAAAAATCGAAAAATCGAAAAATCGAAAAATCGAAAAATCGAAAAATCGAAAAATCGAAAAATCGAAAAATCGAAAAATCGAAAAATCGAAAAATCGAAAAATCGAAAAATCGAAAAATCGAAACATCGAAAAATCGAAAAATCGAAAAATCGTGTGTGTGTGTGTGTGTTTGTGTGTGTGTATCTACCATAACTCATGAACCGATACAAAGAAAAACACCAAATCTTAAACTTAAGCTTTATTCCGGCCTGCGGTGAATTGATTAGATTTTGGGCAGAGTCGGAACATTTAAGGGGTACTTTATTGGTGGTCATTTTTATATTTTATGGAGTATATCCGTTATTTACGTTTGGAGAAGAAAATTCTTAAAGTAAAAGTTACTTACAATATTATTATCTATAATTTATGTTTTGTACGAAATTTTCCTAAAATGGTCCGTATTTGAGAAATTTGACAAAATGTAAAAAACTTAATTTTTTATAAAAATTGTTCAAATAAGAGTTGTTTGTAATATAATTATCTATAATTTTTATTTTATACATAATTTCTCTAAATGGACCGTATTCGAGATATTTGAGAAAATGTGTAAATTTCGAATTTTGAAGAAAACTTAAAAACGGATAAAGGAAAAAACATTAAATTTTAAACATAAGTTTTATTTCGGCCTGAGGTGAAATGATTAGATTTTGGACGAAGAAAATCAAAGTATGTGCACCACATACTTTGATTTTCTTTTACTATACGGAGAATGGTCGCACTGCGCAGCTTTCTGAGTGCCTTTTAAAAGGAGATAGAAAACTCCGCCATTTTGAACCCTTATTACGTGTTGCCTACATCTTGGCGCAATATTTTTAATAGGTGCGTTTTAATCATCCGCTTCTGCTTCGGAATTGTCGGTTTTCTTGTTTTAATCTGACAGGTTAAAACGACTGAACCGACAATTCCGGTAGCAGAAGCGGATGATTAAAACGCACCTGATATTTTGCTTGCTGCTGTCAGTGTCAGTGAATATTATTTTTGGAGTCACAGTTTATTGCTAAATAATCAGTTAGCTCACTTGGACCAGTTGAAAGTTCCAAAATAACATCCACTCCAGGAATACAAATTCAGGATACGCAGAAGACTGCTGTTTTATTATAGGCGGTTGTCATATATTGTATTATCTGAGTTGCGCAGTGTATAAACTGGAACATGGAGATAAAAAGTGCCGACGCAGAGTGAGCGATCTGATTCTTTAGCTATAAACTGTGTCGTAGGGTTCAAAATGGCCGCGCCTTATGTTGGGCGTGTCGGACCTCTCTCTTGCCCCGTATAGTAATCAAAGTATGTGATGTGCACCCTATCAATAAACATTGACGTATTTTGAGAAATTTTCATATTTTGTAAAAGACTTGAAATATTTAGGGCGGTTAGCTTTCAAACTGATACCCCATATGCGTGCCTAAAATATTTTAATAGAAAGAAAACAATCTTTTAAATAACTTAAGTATATTTAAATATAATGTACATTTTAAGGCTAATGTAACAAACAACAAAATATTTTTTGGGTTATAAATGTAATACACGTACACAGGTTTTTTTATACAAATATAGTTACACAGTTTTTCTAAAATGAGGACTCCATCTACAAAAATGGGAATCTCATTTCAATTTTTCACTAAACATAATTAGGACTTTCAAAAACCAGGAAGAAAGCCTAAATATGGTGAGTACGTCTAATACCTACTGAAATATCTACAGTTCTGGCTTTACTTACTAAATAAAACTGTATAAATTAACAAAATAACAATGTAGGAAAAACACTATACACAGTGAATACGCAAAGGTTGGAAAAAATTCGATAAAATATTTATTGACAGGTCGATTTTGTTTTTTTTGATGTGCATATTTTGCTATACCTACTTTTTAAGATGAAAATATAACGTCGTAATTTTTTTTGACCGCACCACAATTTTTGACTTTGTTAATGTAAAAATGTTATTTTAATCTTCGTTTAGTAATTGAAACTTCGTTTAACACAACGGTGGAATAGGCGATAAAAGAATACTTTTTGCGTATAGACATTAAATTTTGTTTACTGTTACATAACAATATAATCGAAATAAAAAGTTTTAGTATTTAACATATTTTAAAAAGGAATGACGTCATAAAAAATATAATTAATTATGCGCATCTAAAAAACAAAATCGACCTGACCTGTCCTAGCATTCATTTTTTACTTGACCAATAAAAATTTATCGAATATGTTCCAGTCTTTAGGTAATCACTGTATGAAATATAAATGACTAGAATTAATAATTGTACAGAGTAGCACTTTCCAAAAATGAAATTTAAAAACTAAGGATAAGGTAAAATCTATAGGTACTCATTGGTGAAACAAAAATAGCAGTACCTACCTAATTTCTATACCCAAATTCATTCGACTAATGTGTAAAGTGGCAACTGGCAGATATTTAATTTTGGATTACTGATTGTGTTAAAAAATACTCGGTGTTCGCTTTTTAAACATCTCCAATAGACCTATCCCCTTATAGACGGTCTCTATTACTCTACTTTTTCTTAAAATCAACAAAATTTGTTGTTTTTATGTTTCCTATCCTTATTGTCAATTACACATCTTCAAATGTAATTTTGTTTGTGTTTGATAGTGTTTCTGTTTATAATTTGATTTGTCTTTAATTATGAAGGCGTGGCAAAAAAATGTGTAAAAATACACTTATCGAGACTCGGTGACAGTTGTTTAAAGCAGTCGTTGTAGCCAACCAAATAGTTGTAGTTACGGTTAGGATAAGAGAGATATAGAAAATAATTTGTAATTTGTTTGGAAAATAACTGATTCAAAAGTCGCGCGCTTTTTTTGCGCATCAGTAATACGAAATTGCTGAATAATGAGGATGCGCATTTCAAGAAAGTAGGTACCCAGCATGGATGCTGCTCATAAAATTTCCGGAGGGGGGACAAGTCACATTGGCAGTGTCAAAACGCCGCAGTCTATAATCGAAATCATAGACTAGGTAATAAAGAGAGGACGCGTAACAAGTATATTGAGCACACGTAGTATCCTGTGCGATAATCTATTGGCCGCCATTATTTTGGTGCTAAGCATTTCGGTGACACCAAAGTTTTTGTTCGTGTTTATTTTGGATTTTTGAATTAAACGATATTTAATAATTGGTTTATTACAATGGTTTATTGTGTGGTATATCAGTGTAAAAGTTATAGCGGCAAGAAAGAAGCAGATATTACGTTTCACAGGTAAGTGATAAACATCAATCGATTTCACTTTATATATTTTCTGATATTTTTCATTTTATTTGGTGTTATTCAACTTGGTATTTACATGTCTTACTCGAGAGTAATAAATTTTACCTACCAAGTTTGTTTATTTTATGCTTTTCATTGATATTTAAACAATTAATGATATTAAAAGTAAAAGAGTGAAATTTTACATATAAAAATTAAATAGTTAGTGATTAAATCTGAATAGCAAATAAAATTAACTGATATTATATGAATGAATAAATGAATTAATAAAATTTACTGTTAGGTACTTCGATAAATATTAATTGTGACCATGTGGCATTTTAGTACGGTAAGTACGGTACTTTCCTTTTGTATGCCCGCCTTTAGGTACTTTGATACTTGGGGCTTCTTGTTTCTTAGAGCTGGGATCTTAGAGCTTCATGGAGCAACTACGTAACTCGGTACTTCTCTTAGAGCTTCCTGGAGCAACTACGTAACTCGGTACTTCTCTTAGAGCTTCCTGGAGCAACTACGTAACTCGGTACTTCTCTTAGAGCTTCCTGGAGCAACTAGGAGCTTCTTGGAGAAGCTTGGAGCTTCTTAAAGCTTATTGGAAGATCTTAAGCTTCGTGGAGGAGCCTGGAGCTTCTTACAGCTTATTGGAGGAGCTTAATTTTATTGGAGCTTCTTCTTGAAGCCACTTAAGTTTCGTAGAGGAGCCTCTTCTTGGAGCCACTGACAATTATCCCAACGTTAACACACAATAAACACATGAAAGTCAGATAATTACTAGCAACTAATTTTAATACATTTATCGGCACAGCTAGCACTTTGAATTCGAACACCAAAAAGAAAGATTAAATCCAAACGAATCGGTTTTTATAAGGACTGGTTGCCCAAAGAAACCATGCGCAAACGATGCTTTGTAAAAATCGATAAAGGAAGCGAGCAGTGGTCGCCTTTTAAGTTGTGTTAACGAGGGGTTATGGAGAAGTTGTTGTTAAAAATAAATTTGAAATTAATTTAAAATTAATTTCACGTAACAGTCAGTAATAAATTTATCTTCAATTATTTATAATTTTTCTTAATAGCTTAATTGAATAATACCCAGATAGCACACTACATCTTAAAGACGTCTAGTTCATGTTTTATTTTCGTCCAGACGTCCTGGTACGTTTTAAGACGGGACATGTTTAAAACGTTTTTGTTGGGATGTTTTTAGGACGTTTTAAATATGTCGGTAATGTGGACGTTCAACTCTTTTCGCTATATTTGAATATGGCGCCACGACACCGTTCTTGGCGCTGCCTGCAGCGCATGTATGATCGTCATTCGTCATTGTCATTGGCTGATTGGATAGTCTCGCGCGCGCGTATCGAGTGGTGTTCTTCCTCTAGCTGCTTTCTTCTCTGGACAGCCATTGTATATTTTTAGCGTCAGTCTATTTACATTGTCATTACTTTTTCGTGGTTGTGTGTTTTTATATATTGTCTTTTTATATTATTTATTTGCCATTATTGGAACTGTGGTATACCGGATCTAGTAAACTTTACCATTAAAAACGGTAAGTTTTATTTTATTTACCTCACTTTAATAATGTCTTATTTCTTAGAAAAACACCTTAAAACAATAATCCACCAAATATTCTACGGGGTCATTAGTTACAGACGCTTTGGCTAAAATTATTACCATAAAAGAAATTTTTAAATCGACCAAACTGGAAAAAAGTAGGATTTCCGGGAATAGTTTCTCATAGCAACAAGTACTTGAAGTTATTTTCTAATTATTTTATCCAACACTGTAAAATGATATTTACTCTGTCAGTTTTAATAGTTTAAAATAGTATTAAATATAGTAGATAAGTATTCATTTATTTTTTAAACGAATTTCTATCAAGTAAATAGACGACTTAAACACGTCCAATACGGTTTGTATTCAATACGTACAAAATTGGATGTCCTAAAGACGGCTTGTTTTGTAACAAAGTACGTCCTATAGACGCATTTAAAACATCTTTTGAATATTAGCGTGGATCTTCAAAACGTCACGAACGTCGTGAACAAACGTATTAAAGGGGTCTTTAAAACGTGTCTGTGCTATCTGGGTAGTGTCGTTCTTTATTAACTAAAAATAAATCTTTTTGTAATACATGTAGATCATTGTTTTATTTTGTGGAATTAAAAAAAAAACACTCATTTTATTATGTAAACGATTTCATTCCTTTTATTTCAATATATTTTTTTCTTGTGTCTTATTTATTGTTATTTATTTATTTTAAATTTTTCGCTTTGAATTTACTTTATGCCTAAAAAGATCAATGAAGTACTAATAACATAAATACAAGTTCATTTTTTTATTTCCAACATGTTACGCATTTGGTCGAATATCGTGTGTGTCAGAATGGAACAAGATTTTCAGCGGCCTTATGAGTCCTCTCTTTATTACCTAGTCTAAGGTCGAAAGCTATGACCAAAAATCACAAATCCACCGTGTAGCGGCGCCCATGGTACCCAGGTATGATTTTCAAATGAATGTAGGTATTAGCGGTTTTCTCATCATACATTCTAGTAAAATTATAATAACATGTAATGATGCAATAATTATTATGCTCGTTTAAAGGGATAGTTAATATTTTTGACGTCTCCAACTATATCGATGTCACTTTCGCAATCACTAACGTCAGAATTTGACATTGACATTTCTGAACTTCCCGAAGCCATTGGTTGTTTATCTGGAGAGATTGTTGCTAAATTTTGACCAATACCTGCAAAAAAAGATTTATTATAAATACAAGGTGTAACCAATAATGATTTTAAAAGGAAAAGAAAAATTCAAAGTACATTTAAACTTTAATACTTTCGATGTTAGTGACTATATCATTTACAAAAATGATGGGGTCAAATTTCGTTTAGCCGAAATCAGTTACGTAAAAATTGTTGCTATGGCAACCGTTGCCATGGTAATAAGTAAACAAAAACCCAAATCTCGTAGTGAGGAAATGCATAGTTGCCAAGTTATAGATTATTTAATGTTCACTTTAGTTTAGACGAAATCAGTTATGGTAAAACTGTTGCCATGGAAACGTTTGACATAGTAACGACTAAACAAAAAGCCAAATCCCATGGTGAGGAAATGCGTGGTTGCCAAGTTACAGATGATTTAATTTAGCTGTAATCAGTTACGTAGAAACTGTTGCCATAGAGACACTTGTCATGGTAACGACTAAACAAAAACCCAAATCCTGTGGTAAGAAAATGCATAGTTGGCAAGTTACAGGTCATTTAATTTTCACTTTGGTTTAGCTGAAATCGGTTATGGAGATGTCGTGATGTCGACTAAACAAAAACCTAAATCTAGTAATAGTTGCCTCTTATATTTAGATTAACTCTTAACACAATATCCTAATCTAAACTAAAGTGAAAATGAAACCATCTCTAACATGGCAACTAGGCATTTTCTCACTACGGGATTTGTTTAGTCGTTAGCATGACAAGCGTTTCCATGGCAATAGTTTCTCTATAAGATCACGTTACGCTCTTCCCACCTACAACCTAACTACTACAAAGGAAAGCGAGCGAAGCGAGCGCGCCCTTTTTCCACCTACATCGTAAAATCACGCTACGCTCCTCCCATCCAACTCCGAACTACTAGAGAGGAAAACGAGCGAAGCGAGCGCGACCGGCCGACGTTTCGAAATTCGCGCGCGCGAATTTCCAAACGTCGGCAGGGCGCGCGCTTTTTCCACCTACATCATAAGATCACGTTACGCTCGTACTACCCACCTACTAACCACTACTTGGCAACTACGCATTTCCTCACCACGAGATTTGAGTTTCTGTTTAGTCGTTAGCATAATAAGCGTTTCCATGGCAACAGTTTCTTCATAACTGATTTTGGCTAAACATTACATTATCTATAACTTCGCAACTACGCATTTCCTCACTGCCAAATTTGGATTTTTGTTTAGTCCTTGGCATGACAAGCGTTTCCATGAAAACAGTTTTTCCGTAACTGATTTCGGCAAAACTAAAGTGAACATTAAATGATCTATAACTTGGCAACTACGGATTTCCCCACCACGAGATTTGGGTTTTTGTTTAGTCGGTAACATGACAAGCGTGCCCATGGCAACATTTTTTGCATATCTGATTTCAGTTAAATGAAATTAAACAAAAACCGCAATCATCTACAACTTGGCAACTATGCATTTCCTCACCATGAGATTAGGGTTTTTGTTTACTCATAGCCATCACAATTGTTATTATGTTAAAAAGATTTCGGCTAAACGAAAGTTGAGCCAAATGATGAATGTGTGTGTGTGTGTGGGGGGGTGGGTTGGCATTAGTTTTAAACTATTTGCCACATACTAGTTTCAGATTTGTTTTTTTTTTTTTTTTTTCAATTTTATATTTTTATATCGGCAGACCTAATAAAATTCAGAATTAAATCTAAGATATATTTTTGGTTTGAGGCTAGAAGACAGGTAATATTCAATGGCAAATGGAAACTGTTATTAATAAGATCTTTAAAGAACTTTTCTGTAAACTGTTTATTATTTTCACAATCAAAAAATAAATGATTCAAATCTGCAATCTTTTCACTATCACATGAACAATAAGGGGAATTAATTACACCGATTTTATAGAGGTGGGCTGGGAACCGACCATGATTTAATTTCAATCTAGAAATTATTGATGTGCTATCTCTGGTAAAGTCGAAGTTTGAAATGTGGGCAATATCATTGGGTAATGTTGGATGTATATGGAAGTAATGGTTTTTTAAATTCGGGATAGCGTTTTTGTAGTGCTCTTCCCAACTTTTTCGAAGACCCTTTTTACAGAAAGCTAATAAGTCAAAGCTAGGCACAGAGTAATTTAAGATATTTCCGTTTTTTACAGCTTCTTTAGCTTCATAATCTGCTCTTTCGTTTCCAGTTACACCGACATGCGCTTTGGTCCAAACTAGAGTTATTTTTTTATTTGTTGAGTACAGTTGAAAGAGTAATTTTTTTATTTTTAAGATTAAATCATTTTTATAGTTTTTAAATGGAGAGGCAATTATTGCCTCTAGGACCGATTTGCTATCCGTAACTATTACAGCTCCTGATCTCAGATTTTGTACACACCAAGTAAGTGCCTTCTCTATCGCAATGGCTTCAGCAGTAAAAACTGAGCATAAATCTGGAATACGAAAACGATATACTATATTGATGCTGGGAATAATAAAAGCTAAGCCTGTTCCATGCTCGCTCTTAGAACCATCAGTATAAATGACACAGTCAATGTAGCTTTTAAAATTGCATTATTAAGCGCCGGTACACTAGTATAAGCGGGGAATATGACTGATGGTTTGAATATTATTATTTCAAAATTGGTATTATATATGGGGTATTTGTTTGCAACACAAGTTTGAGTAAAATAATGGGTATCAATAAAAGCATCTGTTAAAGGTGGAGATTTTTTTTTCTTCCAATAGTTGGAGGTTAGATTTTCTGTGCATAAGTTCGAGATTTTGTTAGATAGTAATGTATTATATGATCTATATTTGATGATTTGTTTGTTAGCTAGATAATTTCTTCTTAGTTTTAGGGGTGGTTCTTGTGCTTCTGCTAGAATTGCATGGCATGGTGACGATTTCATTAAACCTAAGCAAATTCTAATCGCTTTATACTGGACTCTGTCCAGTATCAACAGATTAGTATTTGAAGCAGTTCCGTATAGAGTACACCCATAGTCTAAGAGCGAGCGTATATAAGATCTGTAAAAAGTGAGTGATAAATTTGGGTCTGCACCCCATTTAGAACAGGTAACTGTTCGAAGTAAGTTCATACCTTTTTCGCACCTCTCTTTTATATATTTTATGTACTCTGACCAGAGTAACTTTTTATCTAAAACTATTCCAAGGTATCTGAACTGTTCCACAATTGGAAATGTCAAGTGACTTAACTTAATTGTGTCCGCCAGATGAAGCCGGTGTCTTGTAAAGCACAAAACCGCCGATTTCTCAGATGCAAGACTGAAACCCAAATCACTTAACCAACTTTTAATGCAATATACCACATACTTCAGATCAATTACACAACGCTCGTAAGAACTATGGGAGACATAAAAGCAAATGTCATCAGCGTATTGAATGATTTTAATATTTTTATCCAGAAAGCCATGCAAGTCTGCAGTATATAAGTTAAAAAGTAATGGACTGAGTATTGACCCCTGAGGCAGGCCATTGTTTACAGTTCTAGGACCATGTAATACATTATTGTGATCGCGGATATAAATTGTTCTATTTTTAAAAAGTTCTAAAATATTAGCACATACTTTTGGATTTATTCCCATTTTGTTTATTTTTGAAAATAAAATATCAATATCCACCACGTCATAGGCCCCCTTAAGGTCAATAAATAAACTAAGTAAGTATTCATTTTTTGTAAAACTTAATTGAATATCAGATATTAGTTGTGTGACTGCGTCGATTGTGCCTTGGCCTCGGCGAAAACCAAATTGAGAACTAGGTACCAATGAATTACTTTCTACAAAATGTTCCAATCTAAATTTTATCATCCTTTCAAAGGTCTTAGTCAAACAGGACATGAGTGATATTGGCCTAAAAGAAGAGCATGAATCAGGTTTTTTACCAGGTTTCAATATTAGACAAATTATGCTTTCCTTTATTTTATCTGAATAGTCTTGATTTGTCCACCAGTTATTATAAATATCTAATAAGAATAATTTACCCGTAAGTGGCAATTATATAACATTTTGTACGTAAGGCTGTCAATGCCTGGTGCTGTACTTCTAGAGTTTTTAAGAGCTAATTCTAATGCATTAATAGAAAAAGGATTAGCCAAATAATTAGATTTTGAATGGAAATTAATTTTTGGGCTGGTAGAGCATGGAAAAGGTGGGGTAGGTACAAAGGGAGGTGCAATTTTATTTAACATTTCATTGATAATGTTTTTAGGAATGTTTGTTTTTTTGGGATGAAAATGTTTATTATTTATACATTTAACTTTACTCCAAATTTCAGTAAGAGGGGTGCTTTTGTTTAATTTTGCCAAATATTGTATCCAACTACTTTTTTGTTTTTGTTTAAAAGTTCTTGTCGTGTGAGCTGCTATATTTTTATATGCTAAGTAATTTTCTAAATTTGCTTGAGATTTTTAGTTTTTTAAAGCGTCTTTACGTTTAGCTACTAAAATATTACAATCGTCATCCCACCAATAAGGGTTAACGTTTTTCGGTTGAAATGGTTTTTTAATGGGCATTGAGTTATTCGCTGATTCCGAAATAATATCAAAGAAAAGAGATATTTTATCATTGTTGGATACAGTACTTGTATTTAATATATGAAATCGAGTTTCAATTTGTGACTGATATATTTTCCAGTCGGCCTTTGTATCATTCCATTTGGATGAGGGGTTAATAAATCGATTAGGTGCTAAGTTTGTTTGTAATTCTATTAAAATAGGAAAGTGGTCGGAACCCATTGTGTCTTTCAAAACTTCCCATGTAACTTTATTAGCGATAAAAGGTGATGTGATAGATATATCAACTGCAGATTTGAATTGGTTTGGGGGTGTTATTCTTGTGGAATTGCCATCATTTAATACTACCATGTCAAGATCATCTATAACATCAGCCAAAATTTTACCCTGTTGAGTGTCAGGGTGCGGGCTCCACAGACTAAAATGAGCATTGAAATCGCCGCAAAAAATACTAGACTGGGTAAATTGGTTAAAAAGATTCTTCCAGTCTTCGCTAGAAG